CACCGCCAGATGGCGCCGATGCGGCAGCTTTAAACTTGTGAATGAGGTCGTGAAATCATTATTTAAAAAAAGATTGAGCTTTCCTTTCGCAACTTAAACCTGCAAGACCGTGCAGCTCCTTACAATGGCACGCAAATGATAGTGTGACATCTGCATTATCCTGGGGTGTGTGTGCAAACCATGAAATAAGAGGCGCTTGTTTTAAACATTAATGCAACTCTTTGCTCAAATCAATACACTGGGAGGACTGAGACTGGATTCTTTTATTGGGTGGGAGGCAGACTCATGCATGGTGCTGGATATAAGACCCAAAGCCCGGCTAGATCCTGGTAAAATCCTCAGCTCCATGTGATGCTCAGTGTCACTTTCAAACTGCAGGCAATGTGTTGCTTGTCAGTTTGCGGTTGTCCTAATCTTGATGATAAATTGTAATTGGCATCGGATAATATTTCCACTCAGCTCTAATTAGAAGCCATATCCCGAAATCTAAAGGGAACATCCTTGAGAATTCACCTTGTTCCATGGTCTGGTGCTTGACACATTGTGTGTGCCTGCTTTGTTAGCGTTTTCTCTCCAATTTTAAACCCGGAGCCCTTACAGCACCAACTGTGATCCCCACATTCCGGATCTACCTGGTGACTGGGAGAAATTATGCACTCGCTTTCCATTGAGTGGGAAACGGAATGAGCTCCAACTGGAACTCTGATTATAATCCAGTTCAGAGCTGAGCTGCAGGTTCCTGCACAGACACTGTCCTCCTCTTTGGGTACAGTGTCACAGCACAGAGGGAGACCAGGCACCCCCTTCCCAATGTAACGGCAGAAGGTGCAACGCCTGCCCCTTCACCTCCTCCCTGCTCACCATCCAAGGGTATAAACAGTCTGTCCAGGTGAAGCAGCATTTCACCTGCACCTCCTCCAATCTTGTGTATTGTATTTGCTGCACCCAATGTGGCCTACTCTACATTGGAGAAACCAAATACAGACTGGGTGACCACTTTGCAGAACACCTCAGGTCTGTGCGCAAGCAAGGCCCTGACCTTCCCATAGCTGGTCATTTTAACACAGCGTCCTGCCTTCATGCCCACACCTGTCCTTGGCATGTTGCAGTGCTCCAGTTAATCACAGCGCAAACTGGCAGAACATCCCATCCTCAGACTAGGCACATTACAGACTTCTGGACTTAATATTGAGTTCAACACCTTCGAATTGTGAACCTATTCCTTCCCTTTCTTTTAGCTTTACTTGGTACGCGCTCTGTCACCCTCTCTCCCCTTTCCCCAGCCCAGTGGGACTATCTGTTCTTTCAAGTGGCATTAGACATGCCATTGTTTGCCAGTCTCACATTCCCATCGCTTAATCTGAACTATCGACAACTTTTCTCCACCATCACTCTATACCCCACCATTGCCACATTACCCCCTCACTATAGCATAAATGCTGCCCCTTCCACACTTCATGTCAGCTCTGATGAAGAGTCATCTGGACTCAAAACTTTAGCTTGCTTTTCTCTCCATGGATTCTGCCTGACCCACTGTGATCTCCAGCATTTTTTTTGTTTTCACCCTCCTTCAAGCCCTTTCCTTGGTTAAATTGGCATCAATTCCGAATAACTGGAGAAGTAAAGAGGAAGAGGTTGATGAGGAAGGTTGGGAATGAGGGCACTGTCTCTGCGCAGGATTTGGGGATGAGGGAGGATCAGAAAGGGAGATTGAGAGGTGAGAGAGGGGCAGAGAGGGAAGGTGAGAGAGGGGGTGATGGGGGAAGTGAGAGAGGAGGAGGAGGCAAGGGGAGGCGGGAGAAGAAAGGGTTGGAGGAATAGATGGCTGGGGGAGGTCGGAGAAGAGAGGGATGGGGATGGGGAAGAGAGGGTTAGGGTGAGTGGAAGAGAGGGAGGGGGGATGGGGAAGAGTGGGAGGGAGAGGGGAAGAGAGGGATGGGGAGGGGGAAGAGAGGGATGGGGAGGGGGAAGAAGAGGGTTGCGGAGGGGGAGAGAGGGAGAGAGGGGGGAGGGGGTAGAGGCACAGATGGGTGAGAGGCAGAGATGGAGAAGGGGTAGGGGGAAAGGGAGGGTGGTGAGGCGGAGAGGGGCGAGCGAGGGGGAGCTGGGAGGGAAACAGTGTGAAACTGACCACAACTTTTCCGATAAATTTGAGGTTGTGACTGTATAATAAAGATGATGAAAGAGGGAGGGGTAAGATATTGAGGTGGCGGCTCTTGGAGAGTTTAAACACCAGAAAATGTCAGGTGGGCCGAACGGTCTGTTCCTTTACTTTCCAGATTTGATTCAGTTCGCTATACAACCGAATGCGTGCAAAGAGATGGACAATTGGATTTCTGGTTTTGCGCAGAATATGTATCCGAGAGAGGCAATGACTGTGACGGATAGGTTCCCCCAGTTTCTCGGGATTTTGCCACTAGTTCCTGGACGGGCGAGGAGATGCCGGAGTGAGGACCGCTGACAGTCAGTGAGCTGGGCAGTGCCAGGGGGCACCAGGGTAGAGAGAGATAGAGAGAGAGAAAGTTTGGCGGTCAGATCCCGAGGCAGAGCTGAAAGCAGGGCGATGTGTGAGTGAGATTTCAGAGCACAGTCAGAAAGAGCGAGCAAACTGGGTAGGGAAGATTAGACAGGATTGGGGAAAAAGAGTGGCAAGATAGAGCAGAAAAACTCAAATGGGCACTGTATGGAGATGGTGGGATTCATGAGATCACGGGAAAGGTGGGTAAGAAGCCAGATATAGACAGATGGTATGGATAGCCTTATCCGGATGGATCGATCGCCAGAGTAAATGATTGTATAACAATATTTACAGATTAATAGACAATTTACAGCGCTAGGTAATAATGTGATATGATAAATAGAGAAACAGAGACAAATGACCACCGATAATGACTATAAATGGGCTTGTTAGGCTGCAAATAGACAAATTATACTACAGTACTGTATATGAGCCATGCCTGGCTCAGATTAATAGCTAGTGCAGATTTTACCGTAAATAGCGACCCGTGTCTATTGGTGACACCTAACCCAGCCCTATCCAACTCTGGGAAATCGAAAGAGTTGACAGGGCGTGAGGCAGTGTGTGTGTGAGGGAGGGACTGAGAGAGTCCGTGCGTCAGGGAACCTGTGTATGAGGGACTGAGTGCATGTGTGAGGGAGACTGAGAGTGAGGGACAGTGTGTTGAGAGAGTGAGGGAGACTGCGTGTGAGAGAGTGAGGGAGACTGTGTGTGAGAAAGTGAGGGACACTGTGAGAGATTGAGGGAGATTGTGTGAGAGAGTGAGGGAGATTGTGTGAGAGAGTGA